ATATATTTAGAATAATGGCAAATTCCTTCTGGAAGAAATGAATTACTACTAATGACGTTATCAACTTATGTAAACAGTAATTAATTCTAATATTTTGATAGTTTTCTTAAAATTCTATAGCATACCCAAACTCAGAGTTTGGACTGGATAAATAAAAAATCTCTATTACTGTAATAACACAGCTCCACAAAAGTTCTGTACTAGAGACATGAGATCTTTTGCATTTTTTTTATACTGAATACAAATCAGCAGCTCAAAAACCGATCTACTGGGATATTTTTTAATAAAACGTTAAAATATCCACTAAAATAGGGCGAAGGTAAAGCTTTATAATGAAAAGCAACAATTTTTAAATACTTTTAGAAAACATTTTAAAATAATATTTGAGCATTGGAAAGAAATATATGCAAATTAAATCCACACCCACCCTTACGAAGGGGTTATTTCCACGCCTAAAATCAAATAACGAATGTTAGTGCAAAACAATGTGAAAAACCATAGCCTTGTATTTTGTACTACCAAATATATAAATGTGGGTTGATAGACAGCATATCAAAAAATATAACTTATTCCTCAAAGGGTTGGAAAAGGTTAAGTCAGACATTATTCTATTCAATATTTTGGCATGAATTTTGATATCGCGTGTTTTAGGGGTCGCTGATTACGAATCTGAAGTCCGAATCCGTAAATTCCTCAATAAAATATGACGGAGCCAAAATGGCGTACTATTAGAAATCGAAAAAATATCAAAAGTTGGAGATTATGCCTGAAACTTGTTACTCGGTTGTTTTTCAAATTTTTAAGTCTAAAATGGCGGACCCATTATAGTGGATTGAAAAATACCATAGAAATTGGTATTTAACACCTAAAGAAATGTGTTATGAATGTTGAGTCATTTGAATAAAAATAGACAAATGTCAGAAAATGAGAAACAAAGAATATAAATTCGATATGCAGTGTGCTTGAATGCTTTTCCTATTTTTTACATCCGCCACATTGTATCCGCCATCTTTTATTCAACAATTTTCGGAATTCAGATTCCTTATTCCTTATTCACTTTTATGAGAGATAATATTTAGGTATTATAGGGCTGCAACAAATTTTTGGAAAGTCGGAAAATGATACTACATAATAAATGTACACTACAGATATCACTTTCAATTATTATATTTTTAATTTCATTGACAGACTGCCATAACTAATTTGTACTGTGTATTACTTTGAAGACGCAGAATACCGATTTAATAATTGAAATATCACATAAAACGTTTAGTAATGTAATTGCATCTTTTTAAAATTGTAAATTTAAAATACAGGGTGTCCGCAAATTTCGCCGACGACGTTTGACTGCATATTCAAGACGATAAATAAAAACGATCTACGAAAAAAAACTATATATAAAAAATGTTTGGTTTTTGAGTTACAAGCCTTCAAAGGTATCAAAAATAAAATTAATTTAATTAATAACTTCATAACCCTTTAGAAGATCGCGTTAAAATTTGGCACATTTATTTGGACTATTATTGCGTGTTACACTGAAAAAAGGATTTATTTGGATTAAATAAATATCATTTGCCATAAACTAATCCTAGTTTTGGATATTGCCTAGCATATATAGTGGGAAAAGTAACTAATAATAAGTTCATAGTTTTGTAATAAATCTTATTTGAATGTTAATTTATTTTTAATGTAATATTACATTTCGCCTCTTTATTATTAATCTACATATTTTAAGATGTAGATGACATAAGATTCTTTGAAATATATCTTAGCTTAATGTGAACTAACAGTTTTTCAGTGAAAATAGGTTATTTTAATATTAATAAATCAATGGTTTATAAAAAATGAATTGTTTTTTACACTAATATTAGACGTATTTCTTTCTTGATTAGTCTCAAAATTATGTACTTTCTCAAATTTAATTAAACTGATAATTAAATAACTTGTCTAACTATAAGTTTATAATTAAATTTGAAAAGGTACATAGTGTTGAGATATACTAATAGAGAAGCACATACGAGTATATACGATATTTTTATTCGAACATTTCATTTTTGCTAAAAATTAATTTTAAGACCTAAATATATCGTTCAAAACTACTTGTCATAGTTGACAGTTTTAATGATTAAAAATAATTTTCGGATATATAAATTGGGTTTTATTATAAACTGATGAAACTACAACAGCAACACTATCTCCTTATCTAAAACTGAGTTGTTGACGATTAGTACTTGCCCTATCTTACACAGTTTCAGCATCCATTTTAATTAGGAGCAAACGGAACTCAGCACTCTGTAACTATATGCACATGTTATATTATGAATATGATCTAAGAACAACAAGAAACACTACCTTTTGATATAGTCCATACTAGCCTACTGAACTACACAATACACATAGGCCCCTTGCATACATAGCCGCCATAATGGCAAAGATACGACTGTCAGGGGAGAACACAACTTGGCCACGTGATTGGAGTAATTTTTAAATAATATTTTTTAATATTGAACTGATAATAGTTTTAAACTATATAAAAATATAACTTTTATAACCAGCTGGTTCACATTTAAGAAATTATATATTTGGAATAATTTTCCTTTAAAGTTTAATTGTAACGTTTGATAGGCTATAAAATAATATTTATTAAATAAAAACGAATATAAATTTGTGTTAAAAATTTATTCTTTTAATTCGCCTAACAAATATTCTAAAATCATAAATGGTTATATTAAATCTAATTTGTTAATTATAGACAAACCTGTTGTAAACTGTTTCTTTTTTTAATTCAAACACATCAAATGACTTGTATTGAATGTAACTGGTTTATCTTAATGTAACTAGCATAAATGTAAACTGACTGCATTCAAAACAACCGATTGCTTTAATAGAAAGTAATTGTTTTTTCAGTGTATTTTTTAAAGCTTTAGTCAAATCGATTAGTTTTCTCCGGTTACTTGTCCCTTTTAGAGTGGTCGTATATTTTTTAAACGGGCAGCAACATTGAAAAGGTCGCTTTATTAGAAACAAAAATTATCTCTTGACAAAATCGCCTACAGTAAGCCATTCTTGAGAAAAATGGCATTATTTGCAGGTCTGTATGTTTCGGTTTGCGTAACAATGTCACGGATTTAAAACTTTCAGTTCAGTAGGCGATGAGAACAATATGTTGATTGCTGTGGCTATCGGGTAATGTCATTATGGTCGTGTTTCTTTCGGATTTTCATCACTCCACACATGCAAATTATGAAAATTTACAACTCCTTTCCTTGTAAAACAAAATTCGTCGGTACAAAACAATTTTTGAAGCAAATGATTATCTTCTGCAAAGCTGCAAACTTGTAAATGTGCATTGGGATCTAAATTTTTAAGTTCTTGAGCAGGAGTTAAATGAAATGGCCGAAGAAGTTGTCTTTTTAAAGTTTTGTGAACATTAGTTTTATATACATTTAATTGTCTGGGGACACTGGGGACACTTCATAATTTGCATGTGTGGAGTGATGAGAATTCGAAACAAATACGACAATAAAGACATTACTTTATAGCCACAGCAATCAACATCTTGACACTGCTACGTAAACCGAAACATACAGGCCTTCAAATAATGCCATTTTGCTCAAGACTGGCTTTCTGTAGTCAATTTTCTTATAAAACAATTTTTTTTAAATAAAACGACCTTTTCAATTTTGCTGCCCGTTTTAAAAAAATGCGTAAAAGTTTTGACCGCTAAAAGGAAAAGGTAAACGGAGAAAACTATCACCCAGTATATCGATTTGACTAAAATAATAAGCCATAATAGTCTAAATAAATATGCCAAATTTTAACGCGATCGGCAAAAGGTTTATGCAGTTATTAATTAAATTAGTTTCATTTTTGACAACTTGGAAAGCGTGTAACTCAAAAACCAAGAAATTTTTATTTAACTTTTTTTCGTAGATTGTATTTATTTATCGTCGTGAATATGCAGTCAAACGTTGTTGGTGAAATTTGCGGACACCCTGCAGACTGACCATAACATTGACGTTATTGACAGGGCAGGTGGTCCAATATCGATACTTTCAGATGGTTTATCCTATTTCCTACAACTTTTTAGTTTGTAAAAATATTTTGCAATTAGTATTTTTGTACAGCTTTTTGCATAGATTTCAATAAGGAATGTAATGTTTCTACACCCTCAACTTTTTCATTTTCGACAAGCACTTACAGTTCTTTTTAATGAAACCCTCTCTATATGTTTCAGATTTTGAAATTTACGTAAATTTACGTTCAAATGATGTATGACAAAACATTTGTTGAAGGTATGAAACAAAGAATTTTGTAATTCAGCTATATACAGTTCAGTGTGCCCGATACATTTTTCTCATCGCTAATCAAACATATCCATACTTAAAATTATTTTGAAAATCAAGCCTGTGACATTTTAATTACCTACTTTTATTATCTTTCAGAAGATAGCAGAAACCTCTGAAAAGTATGGAAATATTGTTTATTTTAATAAATAACTATTGTCTATAGTACTGCGTAAATTTGTAACAAATATATGTTTAGTACCTACATATATTCCGTTAAAATTTCTTCGAAATTTGGTACTTTGTTTTTTATTATATGGAAATCCTAAACATAAAATTACATAAAAACATAATTTACCAAAATTAGATATTATTTGTGTACAGTGTAATAATAATTTTATGATTTTTATCAAAAGAAGTAGGACGTTTATTGAAGTAATTCAGATAATCCATTTAAGCTTTAGGATATAATTTTATAGGAAGAAAAATGATTTGTTTTGTACCTTATCTCATCAAATAAAAAATAATATTAGATTAGCGTATTCAAATCTAAGCTAAGTGGGACAAAAACTGATGGAATTAATTTTTATGGGGTGGGTAGCAAGAAATATTTTCTTCTTTATCTTATCGTCTATTTGGAACTATATAAATGATAGAAAAACAAGGGATTTCATCAGTTTATATGATTTTTTGGTTACATTTAAATTTGGTGTAATGGCAGTGACACTTTTTCTGCTTGTAGGAACAATATTATGTTTCGAACAAGCTTCAGGCCATGGTATGATGTTGGATCCATCTAATAGAGCCTCACTATGGAGGGTCTATGACTCTCTTCCTAAGAATTATCAAGATAACCAGTTCTTCTGTGGCGGTTTTCAGGTAACTAAAATATTATCTACTTATAAATAAACATTTTTGCATGTAAATGAAAAGTAACCTCAATAATAAAAATGCATAATTTCATGCAAAGCATTAAAAATATATAGGTACAAAAGACCAGTGAAATATTCAGTATCAATTTTGGAGCCCTTGTAGAGTGTGTAATTAAAAATTAAATAAATGCTTCTGTTTTTCTTCCAAATTGGTCATTAATGCATCTAGATATGCTTGTAATGAATCTCCCATTGGAAGTCTTCATTTCAGATTATCTATTAATCACAACTAAGTGCTGCTGCTCTGTCATCGATATGTTTCATACATTTCAGTAGGGGGGAAATATGGAGATTTTGGTGGGATGGCAGGAGATTCATACCATACGTGGCTGAGCATTATATGAAACTAAAGTTCTCTTTCAAAAATAAATATTTTTCTATGACACTTGAAAAATATTTTATAGTTTTTGCAAAAATCGAGTTTTTCGTTTTTGTAAAATCCCCATAATTAAAATTTTCTTTAATAATTCCACTATTATGTGCAAATATTGCGCGAGGCTCAAATCAATTTCAAATATCGCAAAAAACGAACGAAAAATCGTTTTTTTTGGGGCCATAAAACTTTGATTAACTTTTTGATTTCAATTCGTATCAAAATGTCGATACTGCCATTCGAAAGTTGACAATTTTTCACGAATGTTTAAAAAAAAGTATGTCCTACGACCAACAGGGTTCGAGAAAAAAATTTCTTTTTCGAAAAATTGCCACGACCTCATTTATTAATATTAAGGGCTGAAATTTAATCAGTTTTATGGCCTCGAAAAAAAAAAACGATTTTTCGATCATTTTTTGCGATATTTGAAATCGATTTGAGGCTCGCGTAATATTTGTGCATAATAGTGTAATTATTAAAGAAAATTTTAAGCCCAACCCCGTTCCTAAAGATGTGGCAGCCTATGAATTATGGAGGTTTTACAAAACCGCTTTTTTTTTCGAAAAACTCGATTTTTGCAAAAACTATCAATATTTGTCAATTTTGAAAAAATCATTTTTTTTTTACTCACCAAGAGCTATCCTTTCACCAGGTTTCATAAAAAAAATATTTATTTTTTTGAAAAAATTTCGATTTTTAACGGTTTTTTGCTATAACTAATTAATATATTTATCGATCAAAATCGGTTTGGGCTTATTCGATCCATATTAAAAATTCCTACAACTTTTGTTTGAAACTTTTTTTTCTAAAATGTTTAGTTTTTTTAATAAACGAAAAAAAAACTGTTTTTTGAGAACTTTGGACGCCATTTTGAAAGTCAAGAAATTCAGGTGGGGTAAAGTAGTGCATTGAATTCTATTGAATTTTTCCTAATTTTTACATATTTTCAATTACTGAACTATTTTATGGCACCTGAAAAAGTAATTTGATTGAACTATTAGTTTTAATGGAAAGAGGAGATCTACTGCATACTTGTTGTCTCTGGAAAGACTAAAGTCCTATCCTGTTGGTCTTGTGATAAAGGGAGCTATTTATTACTTCTAGAAGTAGATCATTAGTTTTTGTTAAATGACATTCAAACAATTCTGAACCATCTGTAATACTCTATCCCAGGATTTTTTTTAGATCTACCTTGGGTATGGTGCAATTAATTTCTTGTTAAGGCTGCTAAGATCTTCAAATTTTTCCTATTGTGAAAAAGGTGTTTTGAGCGGAGTTAAAATTTAAATATACCACCATGGCTGGTGTTCTGCTTCTGCTTCTTTCAGCTTCCAAAAGTTGTGGGAAACTCTGTAACTCCAGGCGACTAGAGTATATCTTTAATTCTAATCCGCCCTTGAAAACAAACTTATTTTTTTATTACGAAACCTGTCTGATTGAGATTTACTCTTCAGATCTCTATAACGGTATATTAACTTTATCTTCAATGAATGTGTGGTACACTAGGGTAAATTAAAATATTATTAATCATATTGTGATTATCAAACTGGTTTAAAATTTTAATTCATTATGTACAATATCCTCCTGAATAATACAGAAGATTATTGAGATAAAGCTATACGTACTGGATACTCAGTTTCCTATAACACTTAGCATAACTTATAATTTCAAGAAAATTTCTAAAAATAAACACATTACATTTAAAAAATTTTGACCATTATAGTCTGACTCCATCTGTTATGCAGTAGCAAAACTGAGATAAGATATACATTGAATGTAAAGTTTTGTTTAATGTACACTACAAACATAGGCAATGAAATTAAGAAAATGTTTTAACCACTATTGAGCAACAGAAAAACTGATATAAAATGCATATAAGGTGACTGTAGACTATTCTCTTTTCAACGTGCAATATTCATAGTTTATTTTTATCTCGTATTCGCATAAACGACGATATTCTATGTAAGCCATGACATGACATACAACGGTAGTTATATAGGGTGTCCAAACGTAAGGCAGGATTTGAATTGTGCGCCATTTTTATTAGAAGAGTTGACAGTATTGTCACATGTTGTAGTAAACAAGTTGCGATTAGACAAAATGTGGCGCTATACGACGGATGAGCGAGAGAAGACTGTGAAAATTCATTGGTAAGTATGTAGAGTGCGTAGCTGATGACTAAAAAAAATATAGCAAAAACTACAGCTTATCTCTGGATGTTCAACGTCGGGGTACAACAAAATGGCGGAGCAGTTTGAAGGGACAGCCGGTATACTGCAACAGCTCCCAATTTTCCACAATTTCCGATTCGCACGAACTGTAAGCCATTCAGCAAGTATTCACCTTTTTGTCGCAACTGTTGGGTGTTGATCTAACAAGTAGAAATAATGCACAATGCACCAGAATATGCACCACGTACTAAAAGGCCCTAAAATCGAGATTTACATCACTGTTAAGATCTAGTCCATGGCGGAAAACAACAAATAAATGACTTACGTTGTTGTAGCCTGGCTTGGTAGTGAGCTATAGAGGGCTGGAAAATCCACCATCTGCCTTTACATGAGAGCGACAAAGTAAAGTAAAGAAATCCGTGCGATAGACAAGGATAGCTATAGTGAAGACGTTTCATAATCTGAATAGTCACCGCCCGTTTCGGGTTAATAGTGGGAGTGACTATTAAGATTATGAAACGTCTTCAATGTAACCATCCTTGTCTATCGCACGGATTTCTATGACTTACTTTATCGCTCTTTCCGAACCTGTATACATATAGGTAGTAGCTTATGTAATGGATCACTATGTTGAAAATGTGGGCAGATGTCTTTAAATCCAATAATGCAGCCGAAACTATGAGTCGTTAGCACCGTTTCTAAACAATACGGTCATAGTTATAATGCAATTTTTTAATACATATATCCCAAAGGAACACTTTAAAATGTTAATATCGACGAAAATTGCAATAATTCACCTGCTTCATACTTAAATAGCAAACTCTCTTTCTAAGAATAATATTGATCGATCCGAATGGTTCTTGTGTTTTGAATACCCGCAAAAACGCTGTTCTATGAATATTTGAGAATACGCCAACAGTTATTAACAGCAATAATAAAGATTGAATCTTAAACTGCTTAACTTTATATAATAATAATATACTGATTAATATTTAAACATAAGATAACTAATCGAATTTTATTGAAATATCTCCAAAGGAAAGAAATGTGAATTTTACGTATATTTGGTTGTATACCACTAGGAGTTGTCTGATTTTTGAGCGGTTTATTCTATAATTAATTATATAATGATTAAAATTTTAACGTTACACTGTGCTCAAATTACCTAGAATTTTCGGTAGAAGGAACGCCCTGAATGAAACAATTGTGAAAATATAAGTTGCTAAATTTGAACAAATAGGTTCGGTTGCAGACAATAAAAAACAGACCGTTCTTATACTGGACATTCAGTTGAAGATATTGCTACGGTGAGTTTCAGTGTGGCGGAAATTCCCGTAACCTTAATACGCCGTAGATCACTGCAGTTAAACATTTCCAAAAGCACAATGCAGCGGATTTTAACAAAAGATCTGCATCTGCGTCCATTCAAGATTCAGTTAACCCAGGAACCAGACGATCATTTAATGCGCCTGATATTCGTTGATTGGATGTTGGAGAATCAATAAGTGGGCGGTGATCTTGCATTTCAATTTTAGTGAGTATGTGAACAAGCAAAACTGTCGAATTTAGGGCAGAGACAATTCTCGGGTCATTCAAGAACGACCACTGTGTATTCTCGAAAGAATGACAGTGACTGTCAATGGAGAACGATATCGAGAGATGCTATTGAATTTTTTGTGGCCTCATTTGGACGGTATGGATTTGGATAACCTGTGGTTCGAGCAGGATGGTGCCTCCTGCAATACGGAACTTGAAATTATCCACGTGTTACGGCAGAAATTTAATGAACGTCTCTCTCGTAACAGTGAAGTGACTTGGCCACCAAGATCATGTGATCTTACGCCATGTGACTTTCTCCTATGGGCATTCGTAAAGTCTAAAGTTTATTCTGCTCTAATGAATATCATTTCTGAATTAAAGGCAGAAATTTGGAGATTTATCAACGAAATTCAGCAGCGGGTATGCGAAAGCGTGATACAGAATTTTATTAAAAGAGGTCGTGTATGCGAAGTGAGTCGCGGAGGACATCTGTCTGATATCCTTTTTCATAATTTTTAGAAACATTTAAAAACTTTTTAACTAATAAAATCTTTTTTCTTCACATGAAATCTTACGTTTCTTTTGGTACACCCTTTATTTTGGTTAATTACTATGAAAACCAATTTTATATTTACTTGTAAATTGTTTATTATTGTTTGTCAGTGAATTGTATTAAGTAAGTTATAATGCTAAGTTAACATTTATTTATAATCATTGAATTTTTTGCTAAATAGGTACAATATGAAGAGAATGGAGGAGAGTGTGGTCCATGCGGTGACAACTACGCAGATGCTCAACCCAGATCTAACGAAAACACTGGGACTTATGGCCTAGGCATAATTGCTGGGACGTATACAGTGGGTAGTGTAATTAACGTTAGTTCCACCCTTACTGCAAATCATTTGGGATCAATTTCATATAGGTATGTATTAGCTTATGGCGTAATTGGTTATCAATGTCATCTGGCTTCAATTTTGAAAAGAAATGCTAATTACGAAAATTGCGACTATCAGTTTTTATGGCGATACTGAACAAAAAGATGCGGTAAATCAAATGAGTATATGACTATTTTTAAAAATTAGGTATGTTATAGTCAAGTATAACTTTTTTCAGGATTTTACTATGGTTTGGGAGGTTTGCTCTAATTGTAAAGCAGATATGGCCATTAGAACATGTCGGTAAGGACATGAGTTTGGAAAAGTTTGGTTACTCGCCAAGCGATCAAGTCTAACAAATTACATTTATAATATGTCTTAATGGTATTACTTTCCTAACTACTGAGGATTCGTCAAGCAATATACCATTGTAGTTTTGAGAAAAGATGTTATTCGAATATGACATAATTTCAATTAAAAAAATGCAATCAGACCTTGTATATTAGATAGATTCAATGCTATCCTTCCATTTTTTGTATACGAATAGAAACAGGATTTTTTTTATTATATCGAAGCATACCTTGATGAATTTCATCTAGGATCAACGCGCTCCACTGAATTTGTTTTTTAGTTCTTTCAAACGTCTACGTAAATGCAACAACGATGTTTTTTGACCATAATACTCCTTTTACGAGTTCATTATACGATACTTTCCATTTTATTTCTTCTTCGTTTTTACAAATACGTTTACAAAAATAAAGCCAATTAAGTTTCATGTTACATATAGCACTATTAATACTATTTCCAAGATAATATGTTTCGTCTAAAAATAATTTTTGTGACAATTTTTGCCGTGTCATTACTATCCTACTAAAGTTTTATTTTTCAGTTCTATACAGGATGTGCCATTTAACACTCCCACTACCAATATCTCCGAAATGAAGAAATTTATATTAGTTCTGGAAACTGGGGCTGTTAGGTCCCGCAAATAGCTTCAAATTGCAGTTAGAATTGTTAGTCCAAATCTTCTAGTATAGATACTAAAAAAATTTTTGATTCCCGGAACGTGGAAATGCGGTCCATCTGAAAGATCGTTAAATTTTGAGTAATTTTTGTAATATAAAGATTTTCCCAATATTTATTTGTTTTCGAGAGATATCGACTTCAATATGCAATTTATGATGTAACAGGAAAATCTATTTCTTTATTTAAATCACACTGAGACAAAATATTCTTTTCAAATATTGTTATAATGGCTTTATTCACACCATATACTAACTAACAAACAATAAATTATAAAAAAAACTAATGATCAACTACAGAAAAAAATTAACAGAAAGTATTTAAAAATATAATAACGGAGATGTAGATATATTTAGTGAACTGAAGTAAGTTGAAACAAAGATTATAATAAATATTCAAAATTACGTCTTTCAGCATTAATATACAATGTTAGTCTTCTCGTTAGTTCGACACTACAGGCTCTTAATAAAACGTAACGATTTAATGTCGCCGTACCTGCATAAATTGCATATTGAATTGTGTGCGGAGCGCAAATGGCTCCATCTGTCGTGCTGACTCCCAACTGTGCTATTCGAACGGGTACCGTAAGAAGCGACCTGCTGTATTGCAGGTACTTTGTTGCACGACAGAGGGCGAAACACAATGTTTTAATTGACAGTGTTGCGAGAAACAACTACTCCACGGGCTATATGCCCCGACCGGCATTGAATTATACTCGCAACACCTAGTGTAACAACTAGGATTTTTCGTCAGTTTAACCGGCAAATGGAGCCATTTGCGCTCAGCGTACAATGTATTTCCTTGTCGTGTGGATACGGCCGCAAAACAGCTGGACCGTTCGTCGGTTGTCTCACCTATAACACACTGATGAGAACTAATAAGTCCGAAACCCGTCTGTGCCTGGTGGGTTAAGCTGACGAACGATCCTAGCTGTTGCACTAGGTGTTGCGAGTATAATTCAATGCCGGTCCGGGCATATAGCCCGCGGAGTAGTTGTTTCTCGCAACACTGGCAATTGAAACATTGCATATTGAAGTTAACATGTCTCGAAAACAAGTCAATATTGGGAAAAACTTTATATTACAAAAATTACTCAAAATTTGACGATCTTTCCGATGGATTGCATTTCGACGTTCCAGGATTAAAAAAAATTTTAGTATCGCCACGCCATCTATACAGAAAGATTTGAACTAACAATTCTAACTGCAATTTGAAGCTATTCGTGGGACATAACAACTCCACTTTCCGAAATTAAGATAAATTTCATTCATTTCGGAGATATTGGCAGCGGGAGTGTTAAATGGCACACCCTGTATATGATACTATATATAAAAACATCAGTATTGTATTCATTATTTATTTTAAAATTAACATAATTTTCAATAAGATATAACTTATAGATGAAGATAGTAGACACAATAGCGGTAATGGATTTGTTTGAGATTGATTCTTTAACTGACTTTCTGCGCAAAATTTTATCTGATATTGTGGCTGTAACTTTGCGTTTTTGACTTTAAAATCATCTCCTCCCGCATATATGTAAGCATGGTTGCAGATTACCGTCTAAAACTGTGACCTGTCTACTTCTGTAGATAAAGCAAGCTAACATGTCTAGCAATTTCGTTTGTCATTTTTTCAGAGGCGTTTTTCTATTGGCTGAACTTAACACTTTCCGCTACAGTGGTTAACAGTACATGATGCGAAAAAGAACTCATCATTATAATCACTGTCAAACATTCGTGACTGATATTTTAAATCAAACTTCAACAGCAATGGTGACAGCAATTATTTTAATATCGTTCCATTATTACAGCCTTCTAACGATTGTAAACATTTTACTAGTAATGTATTGATACAGTCGACACTCGAATAATAGTCATCAACAACATTTATAAAAAAAACTTAGTTGAGCAAAATAAAAATATTCACGGAAAATTGATCATGATCATCATCGATCATTTCTTAATATATACCTAATTTGAACAAACGGAGATAAAACATTACTAGTTTCGTTTTATATTTATTTATTTATTTTTAACCATACAATATAGAAAGATTTTTGTGATTAAATAACTCTTTGTTAATATATCTAAGTATTTTTCTTATTTCTTTGTCCATGAGGAAATTTTATGAAAATATCTTCATGATTGACTGACCCTGCAGAAATACAAATTGGAAATTGTTTACAGATATTCACATTACATATTATCGATTTTACACACAACTAATTTGCAACAACATGATGCTAAATTACCTTTCTTTTTTATAGTATTTGTGTTCTCGAAGATCACAATGCTCCCGAGAGCGAGGACTGTTTCCAAGGTCTTACTTTAGCAGATGGCTCCGCATCCTTCACAATCAGCTCAACTGATTTCGATATAGTGAATCAAGTTCAATTACCTGAAGGACTTACATGTGAGAGGTGTGTTCTTAGGTGGCATTACAGATGTGGTAAGTGACATTTTCTGCAGAATTTTTTAGTAAATCAACGAAAAGAGGTCTTAAAGTTACGACTTGCTGCTAGTCTCTCATTTAATGGATTGGGCAGACACTTTAAAATAGAGCAACATAAAATGAAATCAATAGTAATGTACAACCTTGTTTCATTTTTTAAAATTTAATATGCTCTTTAATACGTGAAAACATTGAATAAACTATCATATAATTGTTTCAATACTAAAAAATCTTTCCTCTTTAGTACCTACAGATTTAAAGAATTTTGCTAAAGCAAGTCCAAAAAAGTTTTCCCCTTTGTAAATGTTTTTTCTTTTATAAATTCTGTTGCCAAGACTGTATACATATTTTAGATCTATATGATAAAGAATATATTCTAAAGTATTCAAAATGTTAAAATAAATATAAGAGATTTACAGCCATTTTAATAATGTTTTATTTATAGGAAACAATTGGGGCGACTGTGGAAATGGAACAGGAGCTATTGGTTGTGGGAATCAAGAGACCTTTAGATCCTGTGCTGACATTCTCATCGAATAATTTGTTTTTTAGTGTAAGGTGTTAATTATATATGTACAAATTTTAAGGGGTGATTTTGTATTTTAAACACAAAAGGTTTAATAATTTTTTTTTTAAATATCTATGAAAACGTTTGCTGAATGCAGAATCATGAATCTTAAAATATGGTTTATTCAAATAAAGGTATAAATACACTGAATGTGTATATAGTCCGGAGATACCGGGAGTTACTTTAACAAAAAAAAAAAAAACAAAAAAGTTATGTAAACAGGTGTTTTTTTAAATATTTCATAAGACGTTTGATGCGGAATAATGACATATATTTTTTTTGTGAAAGTTCCAGAGTTTAGAGTTAAGTTTAAGATCGATTTTTAAATAAAATGGAAGTGGTACAAAAAATTCAGTGACGTTGAATTTATGGTGTTTTTGTAAAAATAATTCCCGGTATCTCCACCATTGGTACACGTATTTATATCTGAATTTTTACCATGGAAATTGGATTTATCAATAGCCTAAGTTTCATCATTCTACATCGAACGTCTTCAGGAATATTTTAGAAAAGGCGCTTTTTTTAAATTTCAACGCCCTGTATCTTAAAAAGTATCGAGTTGCGGATCCATGTTTATACATTTTTTGTACTATAAAGTCACATAAGACTTGTCCATTAAACTTTATGCATATACTTAGTAAACACGCTGTATATTTTATACTATATTCTTAGAAATAATTTACTATTGTCTGAATAACCTAGTCAGTAATTACATTAGAATATTCTGAACTGAACATACAATTTACTAAATGAAAATCTGTAACAATTTCTAATTTTTATAGAAACTGGCTGTTAATCTAGGAATTTCATCAGAAGAAATCTGAATTGAACATACAATTTACTAAATGAAAATATGTAACAATTTCTAATTGTTATAGAAATTGGCTGTTAATGTAGGAATTTTGATATTTAAGAAATATATTTTTATAAATTAATCGAAGTATTTTTGANAAGTCTTTGGTGCTGAAGAGCTGCAAGGGGTTGAGGTGAGAAACCTTCCATGGACCAAAATCCTGGCGTTCATTAGGGCGTCGGGTAGGTTCGAGGAGGGTCAGAGGCAGAGAGTGGTCAGGTGATGGGACGGCGGGGTAGGCAAAAAGGGCCCACTTGTGGCCTAATTGCCAGGCTGAGGCCGCCCCTTTACTACTACTACTAGGTTAAGATTTATTCAAATAAAGTTAAACATACACTAAATCTGTATATAATCCGTGTATCAGTGGCGGAGATACCGGGAGTTACTTTTAACAAAAAACAAAAAGTTATATAATCAGGTGTTTTTTGAAATATCTCTACGTTTGATGCGGGATGATGACATATCATTTTTTTTTGTGAAAGTCCCAGTTTAGAGTTAAGTTTAATAAAGATCGATTTTTAAATAAAATGAAGTGGTTCAAAAAATTCAGTGACGTTGAATTCATGGGGTTTTTGTGAAAATAATTCAAGATATCTCTACCATTAATACACGTATTTATATCTAAACTTTTACGTTGGAAATTGGATTTATCATTAGCCTAAATTTCATCATTCTGCATCAAACGTCTTCAGGGATATTTTAGAAAAGGTGTTTTTTTTTTAAATTTCAACACCCTGTATCTTAAAAAGTATCAATTTACGGATCCATGTTTATACATTTTTTTTTACTTAAAGTCACATAAGATTTGTCCATCAAAGTTTGTGCATATACTTAGTAAATACCTTGTATATTTTATACTATATTTTTAGAAATAGTTTTTTATTGTCTGCATAACCTAGTCAGTAATTACATCAGAAGAAATCTGAATTGAACATACAATTTACTAAATGAAAATATGTAACAATTTCTAATTGTTATAGAAATTGGCTGTTAATGTAGGAATTTTGATATTTAAGAAATATATTTTTATAAATTATTCGAAGTATTTTTGAGTTTCTTTACAAAAAATTTAACGTCAAAAGAAGAATAGCGTTACTCTTCACCTCTAGATATTGTGTAAGCATATTGAATATATTTTAAATGTTACATACAGCTGAACAACTTAAGATTTCTATATTTAAAATTTAAATGATACCTTGTAAGGTAGGCATTCATATTTTACTGAAACCATCTGGCACGAGGTGAACTGGTAGTTCTTGTGAGAAAAATTACGCGATTTATTTGCAGATTTTGTTTACGGTTGAAGCGAGTGATTTACTGAATAGATAGTTTCCTGTAATGATACTCAACGAGATCCAAATTGATAATCATCAAGGTCATTAATTCTACAGAGAAACTCGTTCATACTCCTAAATCTTCGTATTCACAAAATGTAAAATTTAGAAGGCAACGATAGAACTGTTTATAAAATGGAACTACTTATGAATTTTTTAAATGAAATATTTTCTAATAAATTTAAGATAACATTCTTGACTCTGTCAATGACAGCATGTTCCTCGATTATGGAAACTTTTCTATCTTCAGAGTTGAAATACGTATTTTCACAAAGATTCTTTTAATACGTTTTTTTTCACAGATTTGATCGTCACGTCAGAAAGTTATATATTTGACTTACCTAAATGTTAATAATCCACTAACCCTATAGTTTGATGCCATTTTCGTGTAATAGACAGCATTTTTGATTTACAAAAAATCAAAATCAAAACATGTTACATTTTCAAATAGCATGTATCAGATTATTCTGAAGTTTATATTTTTTACTACTAAACTAAACCAAAAAGGAAAAATTACTAACTAAAAGAGATAAATACAGAGTGATTCATAAATGATGACCAAAAATGAAACCTCGTATACTTTGGTGAATTTTAAGGGGAGTATTTCCTATAAAGTCTTTATCTAGGCCGCTTCGTTAAAATGATACAGGGTGTTAAACTTCAAAAAATATTTTTAATTTTTTTAAATAATTTAAAAACTAGTAAGTGAAATAATTTTAAATTAGGCACATGTGTTTATATAAACATTGTCCAAAATTTGAGGGCTTTCCTAAAATTTACATGCACTAGTGGCGGAGGTGCAGGGTATCGGTGGCATATTTTTCTAAATAAAATAGTACGCCACTGCTTTACGGTAACAATCATGATATTTTCGGATTCTTCTTTCAATTTTCTACAAATTACTACTCTCTTTTGTTTTTCGAAAAAAGACTGATTTTCAAGTAAAACTTAAAAAACGATCTGAAAACACACTTCGATATTCGAATAAAATGCGGTTTAAAATTACATAGTAGACTGCGATAGCAACATTGACATTCTGAGCAGTTAGAAGAAAGAATAAATATTGTTTTTCATAAGAATCAAGCAACAATAAATTTCAAGCAAATTACATTTTCGTTACTAAAAGTATGTTGCGTCTGTTTTCGTGGAAATGGAGGTGTGGGTACACATGCGGCAAGTGACCCATTTTTAAGCATTACGTCAAGAACATCAGCAGGACACCGCCGGACGCACCAGCGTTCCAGGAAGGGTCTACGGCGGACTGGCGCCGGCGACCAGATGCGGACTCATATACCTACGACCGACTCCACACACAAGGGACTCTCCAACGAACACTCACTCCGTCAACACGTCCTTTTCTATACAACTTAGTTTTCAATAAAATACTTTATTATTACCGTTGAGAGAGCGTTTTATTCTTGCTGTACAGCAAAAGCAACCCTCAGAGGTATTTTTGAGCATTTACTCAAATAAAATCATAAAAATGATGACTAGTGTGATTAATTTCTATATTCGAATAAATAATCGAATGATTAGTCATGTCATGACATTTAGGTAAGTGTTTTTAGTTGGTTTTTTAAATTTAACTCGAAAATCAAGCTTTTTTCGAAAAACGTAAGAGAGTAGTAATTTGTTGAAAATTTAAAGACGAATCCGAAAATATCATGGTTGTTACCGTAAAGCAGTGGCGTACTATTGTATTTAGAAAAATATGCCATCTTTACCCTATATCTCCACCACTGAAGCATCTAAATTTTAGGAAAAAGCCTCAGATTTTGGACAATGTTCACATACATATATGTGCCCAATTTTAAATTATTTTACTTACTAATTTTTAAATTATTTAAAAATATTGAAAATATTTTTTGAAGTTTAACACCTTATATCTTTTTAACTAAAACGTTATAGGAAAAACTCCCCTTAAAATTCACCAAAGAATACAAGGTTTTATTTTTTGGTCACCATTTGTGGATCACCCTGTATAAAACAGTCTTATAAAGACCAATCCCATATAATATATTTAGCCCCACAAATTACAAAAATTAAAGGTGTTGTCTAATTCCATTAAAAAGAGCACTCCTGTAAACATGTATTCAAATTTGCTTAATTTTTATTATACAGGGTGCTCAAAATGAAGAAAGGTGGTGATTTTGCAAAAATCGGATACAGGAAGAAGCTAATATAACTTTATTTCGTTTATAGAAAATAGTATCACTTGAATAATTTTTATTTTTACTTAAAGATAAGTTTTTTTCACATGTAAGATAATAATTATTTAGGCATGGTGTAAAATTTTATTACTTGTTGCAAAAAGCAATAATACATTTTGTAAAGCTCGTAGAACTATCACCGTATTTAATTAAATTTGAAATAACTTGTTAATCAAAATACTTGGGTTCGAAAATCACTACAGTTTATTGGAATTTTTCATTGATCTGTAACATAAACCTTAAAAAGACTAATTTTTAAAAGATTCATTTATTACTAAGTAGCAGTGAAGCAAATTCTCAATGTTAATAATACTGTTTCATACATCACGTTTATATAGTGTCTTTTTATTATTCATATTTCACAATGGACGATTTTTGTTTTTATGTATTCATACAGGCGATATATTCATCCTTCTCAGTTATTCCGGTTCTGGCTTTAATTTTCCGCATGACTCAAGGCCGTTTATGGTTCGAATCATTAAACAGCAACACAGAAGTGGTGTCGAATGTGAATTCAATTAGCAATTGCAGTAATATATTTGCTTAAATTATTATCATTAGTTGTGACACAAAAT